TTTGTATGAGAATTTCGTTCGAAACGAAATACAGAATAGGGGTGATAATCTTCTTCCCTTTTTATCATGACAAACCTCGCTCGGGCCGTTAGAACCAAGGGGCAAGACAGCTCATAATCATGAGTAATTTCAGAGTTGCTTTTGAGGCACCTCGAGTAACTCACATTGCTTTTAGTGTGCAAGATCATTTTCATTTGCTTTCTCACTTTTCGCATCACAGCAGCCGAAAAGCTGCTGTCAAGCAAAACAAAAACATAAACCGGGATCTTCCGGCCTGCAACTTCAGGTGAGTATGATTGCGATTCTGAACTTTCGGTACCTAAATTTCCTTCGGATTCCAACTCCCGGGATCGCCCCTGGAATGGCCACTGGGTTTATTATAAAAACGTGCATGGGCTGAGGACTAACATTGACTCGTTTTTCTTGGCTGTTGCCGAGGCTGAATATGATTTGATCGTACTGACTGGATCTATTCATCGCAACTTTTCGTTTCACTTTATTCCGTCTTTAGAACTGACCGATCTCCCCTGAACATTCAAAAATATCTCAACGTGACTAACCAGCTACCTAAGTACCCAATTTGGCGCATATGGCGGTGGATCATTCCATCAATTATCTATCTGTGGAACCATTCAAAAAGTAACCTACCCCCGCTAGCAGCTTAATGTTCACGATTCCATCGATGACGTTCTGCGGTATTTCCTTTAGTGTTTGCAGATCTGGCAGGCAACGTTTCGAAACTACACTCACCGGCCATCGTCGTCGGGGTTCATTTGCAAGCATTTACCGTGATTTAGGATTTCGTGGTGCCAATTGTGAACGGTGCCGGATAGGAGGCATAGCAATATACATAGAGAGGGAGAGAATAATTACAATAACAGTACGAAGTGCAACAGCGAAGAAGGTAAGCTGTTAGTTAATTTGTGTTACTTTTGAGGTTAGTTTCGTAGCAAGCGTAGGAAGAGGGGAAAACAACGCCACAAGGATCGAATTAGTCAATCAAACTTCTGCATGCAAAAACGGAGTGGGGGGTTAGCGTTAACTCGATGTTATACCATCGACAGATATGATTGAAGTCCCGTTGTACTCCTGTAATCCAGCACCGCAATCGCAGTACTAGACTTAATGAGCATAGCGGTACTACGATCATGTCTGTCATAAGTATTAGCCTTGGTGGACAAACCTGATGGACACTGGTGTCGTTGGTGACGTGGGATAGCAGGTTGTCGACGTAGCGAGAAAAGTAGGACTGAAGTTTGGACATGCGTTCGACCAGCAGTTCACGACCCAGTCGTCGCTGGTTGGCACAGTCCCGCATCTCGGCCGACAGTTGCTTGCCGGATCGGGAATCTTGCGGGGATGGGGCTAGTTGGTACTGTTGCAGTACTTTTGGTGGAATGTAAGGACATTCGGTGTCCGGTAGGTTGGAGATGCATCGCTTCGCGACTGGAAGAAGGTTTGTTGTTGATCGATCTCTTGTTTTGCTAGGTTGATTCAAGGGGGTTAGTCTACAGGTTTGAGTGTTTAGGTATATGAATTTGACGGAACATCGATGCGACAAAACATATGATGCAGGGTAGGAAGTTTGAGTTTTGCGGAGACACAGTCTTGGCTAATGCCCGATACTTACAGGGAACGCTCTTGAGGGAATACTTAGCACATCTTCCCCGCTCTATGTAGGACTGAATGTCGCTACAGCTGAGTTGATCCTTCTGGACGTTATGATCGCAGATGAGTTTCGATCGGACGGTGATGATATTGTTTGTGTTGCAAAGCTTCGAATCAAACGCGAAGTCTTCGGTGGGGCACTCGCGGACGCAAACCTGCGGTGTCTTGCAGCCGTACAGTGGGACGTCATACTTGGCACACTCGGTAATGTCGAAGAACACCAGGTAGGGTTCTTTCTGAACTTCGCTGTCAATGCCACACTTGAGACCGTTCGAATCGGTCGGGACCAGTAGGCGATCCAGATCGCCATTGTGAAGCGCTGCGTGGAGAAAGTAGGAGGCGAATATGTAGAGAAAAATTGCCGATGTAATGTCGTTTTCGTTTTTGCGGTGTAGCTACACCGGTGCTACACTGCCGTACAGCGAAATATTTTAGGGTGTAGATATAGGATGCACCTTTGTTTACAAGCAAATACTGTTGAGCTGTCAAAGACTCGCGCTTATTCCTGCTTATACCTTGTACAGACATACAAAGTTCACTGTTGTACTACCGTTGTACTGCTTTAAGCTAGTACCACAAATTGTACGTTTTGAGGTACTTGATTAAAGGAGTACAACGGTACTAATTTGTATGTCTGTCTGTGGTATTACACTACACCAGTGCTACACCGCAAAAACGAAAACGACATAATATTCTGAAAGATAGTTACCATAGTAGGCCACTGCTCCCCAGCCTGCTAGGAAGCCGGCGAACAGAAGAAGGCACGGAATGTCCGTGCATGATCGCTTCGAAAGTGGTCCCTGAAACTCGGGATCGTATCTCAGTGGTTGACCTGAAAAGAGAAAAGGTCGTAAAACATTTGTTAGTTTCACAGAAGTCTGGCATTCATCTTAAACTCTACTGTTTTGGTCAAAATCACCAAGATCAATCTTACTTTCGGACGGATGCAGCACATCGTCAACGGAGTGCAGTACGACACGATCTCCGGAACCGCAGCAGAAGCTCATATTTTTGGACACTTTTTTCCACCAATTGAATCACTGGTCAATCATCAATCACTGCAAACTGATAACGTAAAAGCATTTCGCAGTGGCTCTCTGCTCTTCGTTCAATTCTTATCTCACTGAGTAATGACCAAATCGGATGCAATCAGCTTGCGAAATCGAAATAGGTATTCACATTTCCCTTCGGATGCACGCAAATGCTCTGAAATGTAAACTAATTCTAGTCTTCTCGTGCTGTCCACAATCTCTTATCACAAACTATACGAAGCCTACGGCGTTTGGCCACACTCTGACTAAGGTAATGCTATCATGTAGAGAGCAGGTATGAATGAAAGCGAAACATGACAAACAAACAAACTCAGCTGGGGCTGGGACATCATTTTTCAATATTAGCCTTATTTTTTTATAGTTGGTGTTCGGTAAGCTCGTTCTGTGATAAGCGTACTTACACTTATCTTACTTTTTGGAAGAGTACGCAAAGATGTATTGGAGTTCGTTTGTCACCGCACAGTAAGCTTTAAAACAATATATACACAGCCATTCCACAGACAAACAGACATAACATTCACAAGTTGTTCATCGAACAAGCATATAACGGTCTATTTAAAAGTTTCCCAGTTGGTAGTACTGCCACATGTGGCGCGCATAGTTGAGTCCCTTGCGTTTGAGGTTTACACACTACCGCCATCTGTTCAGCGTACTACCCCCAACAGTGTACTCAACAGATGGCGGTAAAGTTTTAGCGACGATGTTTTACAATGAGAATATTCAATGTGTTATGTCTGTTTGTCTGTGGCCATTCCATAGACAAACGATATACCAACCAGTGGAAACTAACGATTTTAAATTGGCTCACTATTTGACTAGCCTATTGGTCCTAAGCAAATCGATTAACGAACCCCATTCTAGTCAAAATTCTAGTACTACACTATGTTTGTTTTGATTCGCTATGAAAATTTGACAGATAAAATGAGGGGTTCGTGGATTTTCCAATGTTTTGAGGGGTGCATCGATTAGCTTGGGGCCGAAGAGAGTACCAGAGCTGAGCCAAAAAGTTGAGCATTTTCCTTCGGGACCTTCTGGTCTTAGAGTTACCTCTATGGATATACCAACAATCAATACGAAACTAACGATTTTAAATTGGCTCACTACTTGACTAGCCTATTGGTCCCAAGCAAATCGATTAACGTACCCCATTCTAGTCAAAATTCTAGCACCACCAATGTTTGTTTTGATTCGCTATGAAAGTTTGACAGATAAAATGAGGGGTTATTGGTTTTTCCTATGTTTCGAGGGGTGAATCAATTAGCTTGGGACCGAAGAGAGTACCAGAGCTGAGCCAAAAAGTTGAGCACGTTATTTCGGGACCTTCTGGTCTTAGAGTTACCTCTATGGATATACCTAGTGGTTCTCAACATTTCGGAAAAATTGGTTGTTTTGTTTCTTATCGCAAAATATTAGATCGATATTTTTTTATTTTGTCATTAGGGTGACCATTACCATGTTAGGGTGGTCCAAAAATCGATTTTTTGTTCAAAATTACTTTTTTTAAACTCAAACTTTTGAAATATTGTGCTGATTTCAAAGATCAAAATATCAAATGAAAGGTAAATAAGAATTAAAAAAAAAGTTAGGAAAAATAGAATGTTATTAAAAAATTGGTATTTTTTATTGGAAACACTGGTTGTATTTTTTTTAAATTGTTTTCGTGGTTTGTAGACAGAGGGCGCAAAATGGTTTTTAAATTTTTCCTTGAAAATTTAGGCTTTTTTACACAAGATATCAACAATCAGCAATGCGTTTTTGTATGTTTTCGAGTTATATATTATTGAAGTTTGGGTTTTCGCTCAATACTCCTATGCGACTAGACTACCATGCGTCGAGACCAGGTTACAGTCGCTATAAATCAGCAATTTAAACGAGGTGAAATCGATGGTTGACGCCATTCGAAAAGTTTTCTAAAATTCAAAATGACCACTGCCGAACACAAAAAAAAAATAATAATTTAAATACTCATCAATAGGGTATTTTAGGAATAGGGCACATAGAGCACTTAGGTGATATTTTATTAATCCAAAATAGTGACTTCCGGTTTTCTGAAGTCCAAGATGGTGTCTTTATTTTTTTTTTAAACTGGCTATATGGATATTTTTTAAACCCAACATTGTGGATAATTTTGGAACTGGGATGACGTGTAGAGGTCGGAAGTATTGTATACACAAAATAAATTTCGCCGAGATTCCAACAGCCGAGCAGTTTTGCAATTTATTTTGCTGAGATTCAGTAAAACAATTGCCGAGACTCAGCTAACAAATAACATTATGCTGAGATATCAGCTAACAAACTGATATTTTGCAGAGATATCAACAAAATTAAATGCCGAAGTAATCGGCTGTTGGAGATTTTACCAAGTAGTTAGATTAAGTGTGTATGTCTCCATTTTAAAATCCAATATGGCAACTTCCGGTTCTAGCAAAACTTTCAAATATGAAATTCAGGGATGCTCCGAGAGCTTCAATGAAGTCCCGAGATCTCCTGCGTCGTTCTGAAATTTTACGTTCCGAGAATTATAGGGAAGTCGCTAGAATTTCAAAGAAATACCGAAAACTGAATTGAAATTTAGAATACTTCCAGGTCTAAGAAGTTCAGGGAGCTTTAGGCGAGGCTTTATGGGACTTTCAAGAACTACAGTAAAATTTCGAAACTGTAGGTTAGCATTTTACCAAATACAATTTCCTTCTAAGAACTGACTTAAAGTTCTCGGAACCTCCCTATGTTCCCGTATTCGAAGCACTCTAGAAAACATCTTTTAAGTTATTTGAAAATTTTGGTCGTAGTCGTAAAGTGTTCAAATTAAGAGTTCCTTAAACGTCTCTGAAGGACTTGAAAATTTCCACTGAAGTCTCCGTAATTTACCTTAAGTTTTCATAACATTCTTCAAATATATGAAACTTCCCTGAAGTTCTCGGTACTTTTATAATTTTTTTTTATACTTCCCTAAAGATCCAGGCATAAAACAGAATTTTCGAAACTTTCCTGAAAATCTAGAAAAACTCAAAGAATTCTCGGACTTTCCCAGGAGAACTCGAACTTCGCATAACATTCTAGAAATTCTAGAGCTCCCCGGAAATTCGGAAAACTTATCAAAAAATCCAAGAATTTTCTGTAGATGTGAGAACTTCCCACAGATACCGAAAAGTTCATAGAAGATCACAGAACTTCCAAGAAATTCCGAAAATTTCCCAAAAATTCCGAGAAATTCCCAGAACTACCGCCAGTTCTCACAATTTCCGACAACTCCTCAAAAATTCAAAAAATACTAGAGAACTTTCCAGTAGTTCCGGTAACAACTCAGGACCATCCCAGAAGTACTCGAACTTCGCAAACCATTCTAGATATTCTAGACCTTCTCGGGAATTCCGAGAACTTATAAAAAAAATCCAAGAACTTTCCTGAAGATCTGAGAACCTCCCACACATTCCGAAAACTTCATAGAATATCTCAGAACTTCCGAGAAATTCTGGAAATTTCCTGTAATTTCCGAGAAATTCCCAGAATTTCTGCAATATTGGAGAACTTTCCAGTAGTTCCGGTAACAACTCAGGACCATCCCAAAAGCACTCAAACTTCGCAGAACATTCTAGAAATTCTAGAGTTTCCCGGAAATTCCGAGAACTTTTCAAACAAAAACCCGAAGGTCTTGAGATTTACCCACACATTTCGAAAACTTCATAGAATATCTCAAAACTACAGAGAAATTCCGGAAATTTCCTGAAAATTCCGAGAAATTCCCAGAAGTACCAACAGCTCCCACAATTTCCGACAACTTCTCAAAAGCTCAAAACAATATTAGAGGACTTTCCAGTAGTTCCGGTAACAACTCAGGACCATCCCAGATGTACTCGAACTTTGCAGCACATTATAGAAATTCTAGAGTTTCCCGGAAATTCCGAGAGCTTTTCAAAAAAATCCAAGAACATTCCAGAAGATCTGAGAACACCCTGCATTTAGAAGATCGCGGAACATCAAAGAAATTTCGAAAATTTCGAGAAATTCCCAGAATTTCCGCAAGATTCCCAGAATTGCGGAGTGCTCCCACAAATTACGAACACTTCTCAAAAATTAAAAACATTTTAGAGTTTTTAATTTTTTTTATTGATTTATTTGCGTAACTTTTAGCACAATGGCTAGTTCATCTCGTTATAAATATTAGAGAAATTTTCAAAAAATTCCAGTACCTACTCATAAGTTCGGGAAACTGAACATAAACTTTACAGGAGATCCAACAACTTCCCAGGAGTTCTGTGTAGTACATCAAGGGAAACTTCAGAGCAATTCTGACGGAAACTTCAGGGAAGTTCCAAGGGAAAATTCAGAGAAGGTCCGAGGGAAACTTCAGAGAAATTCCGAGGGAAACTTCAGAGAAGTTCAAAGGAAACTTCAAAAAAGTTCCGACGGAAACTTCAGAGAAATTTCGAGGGAAACTTCAGAGAAGTTCCAACGGAAACTTCAGAGAAGTTACGAGGAAAACTTCAGAGAAGCTCTGAGGGAAACTTCAGAGAAGTTCCGAAGGAAACGTCAGAGAAGGTCCGAGGAAAACTTCAGAGAAGTTTCGAGGGAAAATTCAGAGCAATTCCGACGGAAACTTCAGAGAAGTTCCAAGGAAACTTCAGAGAAGCTCCTATGGAAACTTCAAAGAAGGTCCGAAGGAAAATTCAGAGAAGTTCCGACGGAAACTTCAGAGAAGTGCCGACGGAAACTTCAGAGAAGTGCCGACGGAAACTTCAGAGAAGTGCCGACGGAAACTTCAGAGAAGTTCCAACGGAAA